GCTCGTGCACGGGTCAATGGGAGGGGAGCGCCCGCAGCCCAGAAAACCCACGGCACGGGGAATAACCGGCCGGTCCCGGGCCGCGAGGCTGGGCCGGGGGTTACGCTTACGGGGGGAGGCAGGTGGGAGGCACAAGGGAAAAAAAAAAAAAAAAAAATCTATTTACTCAATTAAATGACGCACCATTCAGTCATCAGCTGGGTTTTTTTTAAGTCACTCTTTATCCCCTCCGGAATAAAGAGCTGACTATAAAAAGGGAGGGTGGGAAGACAAACCCTGCAGATTTAAAAAAAAGCTTAAGGTATTTTAATGCAAAGCTCCTCCGGGGTGCGCCAGGCCCTCCTGCTTTATAAAGAGGGGAGAGTACCTGCATCAGCTCCACCGGTGCTGGTGCTCCAGAAGAAGACCGATGCGCTCCTCCAGCAGCTTGCAGCAACCCCCAAATAACGGGACCCTGGGTCCTTTCGATAGCCCCCAGTGGCCCCACCAGGCTCCGCAGGGCACGTACCTGCCGGTGGCCGTGCTGATGGGCATCGTTGTGGTCTCTGCCTTGGTTGTGAACGGCTTGGTCATCATGGTTTCCATCAGGTACAAGAAGCTCCAGTCACCCCGAACTACATCCTGGTGAACCTGGCCGTGGCCGACCTGCCGGTGGCATTCTGCGGCAGCCCCGTCAGCTTCTCCAACAACATCAATGGCTTCTTCATGTTCGGCAAACAGATGTGCGAGCTGGAGGCCTTCGTGGTCTCCCTGACAGGTAAGGACACGAATCTCGAGACCTGTCTTGGTCTTTGGTTGGTGCCATTGCATTTAGCAAAGATGCTTTGGGGAATGTTTCATCAACTTGCTGCTTCTCCTAAAGGCCATGCTTTCATCCTAAAACTCATGTCCTTCAGCTATTCTTTAGCCCAGGGAAGACTCAAGTAGGTGGTTGGCTGTGCCAGGTCACCACACGCTCTGTGTTGGTCTTTATAGGGAGGGAAATGTCACTTGGGCACACAGGGAGCCCTCGCTTGGGATGTGCTTCGTGGGTGCTGGCTGCTGTGTGAGCACACAGATGTTTGTGTGTGCAACAGACACATGAAACACTGCCCAAAACTTTCTGTCGAGGACACTCCAGCACAGAAACTGTGGTTGCAACCACAATGCATCACAGATACCCAATTGCCAACTTCATTTTTAAGGGCCAAATATCCTCACAGCCCTCCCTGCCATGAGAAAAACTGTAGTGGCTGATCTCCAGGTCATTGGGGATGGAGAAGTGAGAGGTGCTTGGGCAGCATCACTAAGGGGGGGCAGCGCAAGCGCTTGCTATTTTGGAGCCCGTTACTGAGCCTCTATCCAAGCCCAGGATCGGTTTAGGCTTGTTTCAAAACTTATTTGTTCCAGGTCTGAGAACCTCTTGCAGGTCCAACTGGTGAACCGGTAGCAGCAACAACAGCTACATCTTGGCCTTGTTTGTCACATGCTTCATGATGCCCCTCAGCCTGATTCTCTTCTCCTACACCAATCTGCTGATGACCCTGAGAGCGGCAAGTGCGGCGAGTACAGGTGAGTTAATGGTTTTCCGCTCACAAAATGCTGGCAAGGCACATCTCCATCAGGATGAAGAGCCTCACGGCAGGCTTTTGTGACAGTTGATGGAGCTGACACGTCCTGGCGCTGATGTCAGGGCACCTAAGGGATGGAAGTCCTGTTGGAAGTAGTTACGCAGGCATCTCTGTCTCTTCAAAACTCCCCGCAGGCTGCGGCACAGCAGCAGGGAATGGACACGACGCAGCAGGCGGAGCGGGGGGGTGACGCACATGGTGATTGCGATGGCGGTGGCCTTTCTCCTCTGCTGGCTGCCCTACACCACGTTTGCCCTTGTGGTGGCTGCCAACAAAGACATCGCCAGCCAGCCAGCTCTCGCATCCCTGCCCCCCTACTTCTCCAAGACCGCCACGGTTTACAACCCAATCAGCTACATCTTCATGAACAAACAGGCGAGAGAGAAAGCCATTAGCTAACGGAACCACAGCTTCACCGGGGCTTCTGGAGAACAACTTAATGGCCTCATAAAGTGTGGAGGAACCATCCATCCTATCTGGAAGCACAGGCGCAGGCTTGATCGGGGAGTTGCTGTATAAGCAGCAAGATTTGGGGGAATAAAATAGAAAGGGAGGGAGCAGCCTCCGAACCTGACCAAGAGCTCATTTTCTGCTTCCATGATTTTATGGGGTCAGGCAACCTAATTTTAGATCACAAACTGCTCATTGAACACACAAAGCAAACAGAATGGTACTTTTATTGTCAGTAAACTGCCAGGGTCTGCAAAGAGTTGGGCTGGGAATTGATACAGATCTCACCCAAAATATAACACACGTCCATCCTTCAGCCTCTGCCTCCACGTCTCGAGGTGGACACCAGCTTCTGCCACGACACGTAACCCGTCCCTTCCCTGCTCGGTTTCAGAGCTGCCGCTGAAAATGGTGTGCTGTGGTTACCACCCCTGGGAGGTGGGAAAAACCGCTCCAGCTGCACCCGGCCCCCCCACAGGCGTCGCTGCAGACGGGCTGCGGAATAGGGTGACGCTGTCTCGCCCTGTCTGACTGCTGCCAGATCCCGCCTGCACCGATGTCAGCTTCGGGCTCAGCCTGTCCCACCCAGCCTCGTTCAACACGGGCACAGAGAAGGGCCCGGTGCTGTAGCTGCTCCCCATGCCCAGGAGGCGGGTGGCTCTTGGTTAGAGAGGTCCCCAGCAGCCTTCATGGTGCTCCCCAGAAAGACACGACACCATCTTCTTGCGGGAGAGGAGCCACCCTGTCATGGGATAAACTGCAAACTTTTATTTTGCCATCCTAAGAAAACACGCCTCCCTTCCAGCCCCTCACCTCGGGGAATCAGGAGTCTTTTAAGAACAAAAAAAACCCAACAGTAATTTTTCCTCGATGCAAAACATCCCAAGTCGCTGTTCAGCCCCGGCGTCAGGCTGAACACGCTCCCGCTGTGACGCCACCTCCAAAGCGGCCCGTAGGACAGAGCCGCGCGTTCGCCATCCCTGGGTAGGCCGAGTCCTATTTGCATTGCCCAATCTCGCTGGGAAGTTCGAGGTCACGCTGTGAAACTGGCAAAAATCCAGCAGGTACGTTGAAGTGCAGACTGCGTTAATAAACATTAATGAACATTGACAAGTTCATATGCATCTGTTTTACTGGCTGGTAGAGGGTTCGACAGAAAACACTTTACCTTTCACTGGCACGTCTTCTCTCATGGCAAGTGCCACATGTGCCATCACAACAGATAGCAAGAAAAAAAAACAAACAGTTCAGATATTCAGTATGGTTTTTTAATATTTAAGGCAATAAGGAAAGACCTTAAACCCACTGATTTCCCACCAAGGGTGAAAACGCAGGTTGTAACAGGCCCCGAGGGCAAGGCACAGCAGAGCCACTGCTGCCCGAAGGGCCGGGGCGTTAACAGAAAGCAAAAGACGCCACAGCCCGTAAGAAAAAAATAAAAGACAAACCCCCCTCCATTGGGGTTCCACAGCTACACACCTGGTCGTGAATCTCAAAATGCAATGTTTATCTGCACCAGCTGCAACTACACTTCTGGGCTGCGATGCAGCTTGTGCGGTTTAGGAGCCTACGGATAAGGCTTCTAAGTGCAGGACAATACCGCAGAGAGCAATCCCCCGAGACTCTGTTTTATCAAATTCCTCTGTCTTAAAAAATGCTATCAGCAGCTTGTCTGCCTTCATAGTTAATTGTCTTTCGAAATCTGATTCTGAACACCGAAATTGCTTTCAAGGAGGAGACTGATCCACAGTGACGAGATTTAAAGGTTCACTCTCCCCTCCGCAGTTCTGTTTCTATTGCATGTTGCCCACAGGGCCGATCCCAAAACACGCCTCGCTCCTCTCCTCCTCCCACCGTCTTCCACAGCTTTTGCAGCAAACCCATGAAGGGGTTAGAGAGAAGCAGCGCGAGAAATACTTCATCACCTCACTGAATTGCCTCGCTAGCGTGCAGTCCACCACCTGGTAATAGGCAGCCAGAAAGGCAATTTGGACTGGCACAGATGATGATGAGATTTGGGAGACCGAGGGCTTTTTCCCCCGAGATCCTCTGCTCCAAAACAAGAACAAAACAAAAATCCCCAAACTAAGACCAGTACGATGACAGGTACAAGGGAGCTGAAACACGGCTGCTTAGGGAACACACATTTGCTTTTCTTCTTGCTTGTCTTCACTCAAATTTACCGCAGGGTCCTGCAAGCACCTCCAGAGAAATACAGTACCTACAGGCAGGGCCGCGTCCCCGGTGCAGGGGGACAGGACACCCATCCTCGCCCCCATCCCCGTGTCCCCACCCGTGTCCCCACCTTCCTCTCTCTGCTCGCTTTCCTGCATGCAAAATGGCTCGCACGCTAGCGGCTCAGAGAGGAATTAGAACAGCTCAGGATCACTGTTTTAATTTAATTAATTGGTCTTTCAGTCTCTGGGAAGCTAAAAAGCAGCATTAGATGGGCCCCCTCTGATCTTCTCTGCTGTCTTTCGCTGGTCCTTGTTTAATTGTTCCTGTTAATTACAGCTTTTGTGTCCACGCTTTGTGTTATTAGGATGATTTACATTCATGCTAAACTTAAATCTGGAAAAGTACAAGCAGCTGAAAAACTGCAGTCTCTAACTGCTGCGTTCTGGCCTCGATAAGGAGAGCAGACAGGCTATGGGACTACTTGAAAGGCTCTCTACCAACAGAAATAAAAATTCTCCACTTTAAGATTAAAAAAAAAAAAAAAGAGGGAAATGGTTCACACTCTGCTCACCATTTGGTCTGACAGATAAAATAGAAAAAGAAATGCAAGAAGCTAAGGAGATTTCACATGTCACAAACCAAAGTGATGTATAATTACGCGCTTGTAAAAATGCCCGTGCGCTTGCTCCACTCCACCACACCGCTGCAGCCCTGCAAGCTTTAATTACTTTTTATTTAAGCAAGTCTATGAAACATAACAAAACGTTGCCCAAAGCGAGAGGGAATGACCCTCGGCTATGTGTCGGTTATGGGTCACAAGCCACTAAGGACAGAATGGCACAACAGATTTGCCATTTGGCCTTGGCATGCATTTGCCATTACCTTCCGTGCCTCGCAACAGGCTGCAGGGTAACGCAACGCTTTGCAAAGCCCCCGGCCGATGTAAAGTAGGATCTTGTTCCAGCAGCTTCTATCAAGAATATAACGTTCTTCTGCCTGCAGCAAGGATACAGAACTCACGCGCGCAGAAAACCGGGTACCTGCAGTCGATATGAGCCCAGGTTAGAAAATATTAAACTTTGGCCTGGACAGAATTGTGTAACGCAGAAAAGTGAGCCCCGTTTCCCATGCACTGGCACTGCTGTCAGCCTGAGGTGCAGAACTCAGACTGCAGCCTCCTTGCTGCTGGCGCTTCTGCTCTAGCTCTAGCACTACCATGACGTGACTAAATGGATGAAAGATTTTTATTTTTTTCTTGATCTTTTCTGAAGAAAGCTCCCCCTCGTCTGCCAGCTTGCACCATCTTCCCTGGAGTAGCTCTATCGGCATCTAGTTGCATACATAGTCTGATGATGGGAAACATAATTAATAACAAGTAAAAAAACCACCAACCAAACCAACCAAAGAACCACCCCAAAAAAGAACCTCCAAAACCAGAAGAACCACCACATGGCAGCACAATAACCTTGGAAACTTTTATTGATATTGTTAAACCAAATTAACTAACAGTTACAGATAAGCAGCATTTCCCTAAATGAACAGCCATGAAAGAGCAGCATGTGGTACACCCAGCTGGGAGTGTTTGTTAAAAAGGGACAAGGACAGTCTTCTCACCTGCTGCACCTGAACAGTATTTATCACAAGAGAAGTTAAATATGAAGTTGCTGTGCCCATCAAAATCCTGATCCAAAGCTTGATTATATGCAGGGACTTTTTTTTTTTTTTTTTTGGTGAGCCGTACCAAAAGTGTGGTTTAATTAAACAACAGGTATCTTCGTAATACTAACCAGATTTTCTCGTATTCTTGTCTAATGCTGGCAGGGAATGTATTGCTGCATTTGCAGTCTCTGGAGAACACTGCCTTTTCCTCATTAGCTTTTTGCACAGCAATTAATCCCCTTAATCAGTCAAATCAGTTCAACGCTAGATCACAAAAGCACTAAGAAAAGAGAAAACAAGAAATTACCTTGTTAAATTTAATGAGCAAGGAAAAACATACACTACATGGGCTGTAACAGTGCTCCACACTCCAGCATGGAAAGATTTACATGCCTGAGCAGTAACAGCAGTCCACAGAATTACAATCATTTTGTCCCCAACACTGAAAATTGCATAATGCAACAGAGCAAGAAATTCTTTAGCTTCTGAAAGCGTGCATGCGCAGAAAAAAACCCAGCTTCATAAGGATGTTATATTCAGAGAACAGTTCAGTTCTGCGATATTATTGATACTGCCATTACATGCAATGATGGCGTAAAACCAGTACAAACTGTATTACAAAGTAGAGCATTAGATTTTCTTCTGTACTTGCTGCTGCAGTTAAAGGAAGTCTGAGCTTTACAATTGGTTACGTAGCCAAAAAGGGTTGCAATTCTCAGGCTGTATACTGTACAAGCAGCAGGAAGCAGGTGATCTTAGAACTTGTTCACCATCCAGTTTAATCATGTAGGAGAGCTCTGATCCAAAACAATTATCCTGTGGGGGGGGAGAAAAAAAGGTTACATGGCTGTTTATTTTCTTATATCAAACTACAGGTTGAAGGGAATGGGATTTCATACTGCCTCTTTCGCCTCCTCAGCATGGAAAACAAGAATGTATCTCATGCAGCCAGAGAATACACAAATTTCTACCAAAAGCCCAATTTAATTCACAGAGAGGCTCACCTGAATGGTGAAGACAGCTGTTCCTGTAAGTGGGATTTCTGATCTTCAGGATGCGTGTCTAAAAAACATGTAAATTCAGCTCAGAACCAAGAAGAACATATACAGCCACACAACACTTCAAAGAGAAAGCTCTAGTTTTGTCAGCACGTAGCAGCATGCTGAATCAAGCGCTACAGATCTCTTTGCTACATCCATTAAGTTGGTTTCTGATTACAAGTGCAGCCTCAGCTCTGTTGCTATTGGGTGCATTACACAGGACCCTCTTTGTGATCAGAAATCATTCCGTTTTCAAAACCTGAAGCCCAATTCCTACCGGCTCAGTTCTTCTAGAAGTCTGACAGAAAATAGGGTCATATATGCTAATGCTGTGCAAATAAAAAGCACAATAATGTTATCTCCAGATCTCTGGGTTTAAAAATTACCATCAACATTTCCAAAAGTAACTAGTGATTTGGGACATTTCAAACTTTGGGTGCCCAACTGGAAAGCAAAACGTGTAGTAGAGCTGATTGCTGTAGAAGTGTTAAATGCCCACAACAGGGGCCTCCTTTAAATCATCTTGTGCTACACACTGAAAAATCTAAAGTTCTCTCTGAAAATGAAAGGCTACTGCCTTTTTCTTTCGAGACAAAATGCCCGTTCTTTCATATATTTTGCATAGCACTAAATGCACATTAACTTAATACAAGTATGTCAGCCCCCTCCCTGTAACAAGAAACACCTTTGAGAAATGTTGAAAATGGCAATCTTTTACTTTAGCTGTAGAATACCAGTCATCTTTGACAGTTCCTAATGGATATTTGGACTTACAGAACAGAGGAAACACTTCTATTTTATCTTATGTCTTCTTCCTTACTTATAGTTTCTATTAAAGGAAAGCCAGGGGAGACGAGACTGAACAGATGTTTAAGGGATTTGATGGCATTGGCATACACATCACAGGTACATACCAAACCACACTGCTAGTAACCAAAGTCCTTACAGTGTGAAGCATTTAGATGCCTAAGCCAGAGAGGCTGAGGACTAAAAAAGACACAGATACAGTATTATCAGCTGTCTTTCAGTGCTTTCAAGCCAGTAGAGGAAACTGCACTCTCGCTATGAAAGAGACACTCTGCAACTCCAGCAAATCTCCAATGCTGTCGGTCTCAACTGACCAAAAAAACTAGGAAATTTTCAAGTGTCTCTGGTCTACAGCAGCTTCCTCTCCTTTAAAAGCACAGGGTAGAAACAGTACCAAGATGGGGGAAATCAAGAAAACCACAAAACTAGACTGTGCAAGCTCAACAAATTCAGTGCTAACAATATAATAAATGCAATACTGCCCAGCACAGCATCCAGTAGCTTTACAGACGAAGAGGACCTTCTGAACTCCCTGCACAGCTTTCTGGCGCTCTGCCTCTGGCCCCAGCTCCGCCTTCCTCTACTCCCTTCTTCCTTCCAACATCTTCCACATCTTGCAGGCTTGCAGCCCTTGAATGACAGAGTTTTTTGTATCATCCCAATTTTTTGTATTTTCTTTTAGACAGGATGAATACCGAGCACTAAAACAGAAGCCTCTGGAGACACTAGATGCCTTTTTATTTTTACTCTGACCTATAATGGGCATCTGCCCCCTCCAACCCCCAAACAAAATGCCTCTCCCCCCCCCAAGACTACAGATGTGCTTTAGCTTTACATCCATACACAGACTCCAATGATTCCTTACATAATAGCATTAAGTAAACATAGTCTGACTACAAGCGTGAATGGGCTTTGGATCAAGCCATTTATGAACATGGCATTATATATACTGCAGGAATCGGTCTGCCCTGTTGACAAGATCCTCCTGGTTATCAGGACATTTGCCTTCTGTGTTCAATTAAAAAAAAATAAAATCCTGATGCCAAACACAAGAATGTCATGTGTTCCTTAGTAAGATATATGTTAGGAATGACTTAAGACTGCTCACTGGCATTTACTGTGGAGTTGTTCAGAGTTACTAGGCTCTGATCTTTGGTTCTAAGAGGAAAAAAATTATTTGGGCTATGAATCTTTTCCTTGAAGTGATGTATATATGACTTCTGTCATTTTCTTCATTTCCTCCTATACTGCCATGACAGTATAACCATCTTCCCAAACTCTTCTTTGAAGTCTTTCTAAAGAACTTTCATGATTCTGTTCTCTTAATGTACATTCTTCTCTATCTCAAAAAATCCACCATTCTGTCAAATCATCTCCGATTTCTGTGAAGACTATGCACTGCCTTCCAAGCCTATGGAAGTATTTGCTTTCCACCTACAGGAAATCGTATTAGCAAAACATTCTTTTCCCTCTCAGTTTAGCATGGAGAGTTCAGATTGATGTCTCCAGGCAAGTTCCCGGACACACTACTGCCTGAAGAGTGACAGCACATTTTCTGAGAAGTCCTGCATAGGTCTGTACACAGAACATAAACAAAATAAACTTAGGAACAATGTATCAGTTATCAGCTAACCCAAGACTGTGTCCCTGAGGTTGTTCTCGGATCTCCTCATCTCCCGGAACTGCATGGAGCATTCTTTCTAAAATATCATCAAGAGTGGAGTGAGCCCTGTTGAATAAAAGATTTAAAATGGATGCTGACAAGTTTAATACTATGCATTTAAAAAAAAAAACCAAACAGTCATAATTATCAGGGTTCTTAGGAAAAGTTAGCTTACTGTAAGCATTGAATCTTGTTACAATATACTGGAACCATTATTCTAAATCTTTGTAACTCAAAGCCAAACATGCCTTACCATCCTTTTTTCATACCTTTCTGTTTCCTCTGCTAGATTAAATGACTCCGTAGTCCAAAAACTATGATTTCTCTTCTCATTTCTCTCAGATTCTTGTTTTGACTCTCTGTCTTCCATTTTAATTTGATCAGGAACTAGTCACATAAACAGAAAGATTTTAGTATCAAAGGTATGAAGGAAGATAAAACCACGTTTTAATTTATTAATTATTTACTGCACTTGGGAAACTTCCAGTTGTCCACTTCTCAATTACTCTTTCCTCACTAATCTGATTCTCTACCAGTTACGCAAATTCACATTATCTACAGTCAAAGGTGGCCAGTAGCAAGACCTAGATAAATATTTTACTGTAACACATTTTTAGATTTACAGGACTGAACGTTTTGCTTCATACTAAAATGAAAAATGCATGTGGAAATTAATCTTTAATCTTTCCCCTTACAAGCCTAGATATGGGAGAAAAATCAAAAGAAAACCTGTGGATGTTAGCTTTGTTACCCTCCTTAGCAAAATCCAATGATATCCCCCCCCCCAGGACTTATCTCAGTAAGTTCTGTTCCCTACAGCATGTGAATATATTCAGCCACCTTCTGCTAAGCTATGATAAGCAGGAAGCAGTAGGCTGTCACAAAAATGGAGTCTGAAATAGCTGTACTTTATGCAAATACAACAAAACCACAGTGATTAAACAGCAAGCAATAGAGGCTGCTGCATTCCTTACCACCTAAAAACAAGATACTCCTATGAATAAAGTCACGGTAGCTTCTATCCTTTGGGTAACGATTTTAAATGGGAAAAGATCTAACAAAGCTGTAGGATAACACAAACAAGTGGCAGTATCATTCTCAAGTGACTATGCTATTTAGCTTTTCACAGACTAACTCATGTTCTGCCTTTTTTTTTTTCTTTTTTTTTTTTTTAAACTGCTCTTCTCTTTCTGACTCATTGGAAACAAATGCAGAGCCTATAGAGATCTAGGTTTTCTGCTCCTCTGATACTACTTGCTGTACATCTAAAAATTATTCCCACTTATTACTATTTGCAGTTTCAGAACCACAAAGATTCACTACTGCTATCTTTGGTATCTTTGTAAAAGAACAGGAAATACAATATTGATTACCCCAGTGGATGCTATTTTCTTACACCATGAGATCAGAGGCATTATTTCATTATGATGAGTAAGAAACAGAAGCAGTTAGTGTGCACTGGCCACTTTTTCAACCCTCCCAGAATGGAAACTTCATCTCTATTTTACATCAGCTGCCCACCATCTATACTTTTGTGGGTTTCATCACTTATGTTTGAACACAGCATACATTACAGTGGCATAATAAAAGTAGAAGATTAATTCTGATAGTTCAGACCTGCAAGCCTTCCACACCAGATCCCCGTAGCCTTTAGAGAGTGAATACACAGAGAAAGACAGCAAACACTGGCGGAGGGGATGCTATTTGCAAAAACACTGCATATAACCTTACCAAGAAAGGGAGAATCCTCTCAAATTTCTACTGAACCACAAATACAAAAAAAAGCTAAAAATCGAAGTTTATCCTATAGCTGAACATACAGTGACAAGTAGTCAGAGTAATTTTGCAGCATTGCAAAAGTAATTGTCTATTTGCAATCTCTATGTTAGGACTATGATCAACTGACCATGTATTTGCACTCCGCAGTCATTCAATCCCTTCTCTTTAAAGTCTTGAGCGATGGAATCTTGCTGCTTTAAATATTCTGTTAAAAACAGCATATTTCCTTATTGATCTAAATATTCTTTCTAAATTGACTCTATACAATCTAAAGTACCGTATTACTTTATCCATCCAAACCTAGATGAAAACCTTTACATAATCTATAATTATTTCATACATTAATCCTACAAATTGTCTCTGCCCATGATTTATTCACTTGATGCCAGTCTCCACATGTCCTTGTTTTGGTGAATGAGGAAATAAATTATCAGAATACATCTGGGTGCCTCATTTCTGAAAGAGCATAGGACCTATATATATTTAATCATCCCAATGGCTGGCGTTAGTTTAGGAAGAGTTTATAGCTGAATAACCAAAGGAAATTCTTCTGTAACACACCCCCATAAAAATAATACAGTTTTTACACTGTGTTCTGTCTGAAGATGCGATTACAAAAAGAAACAAATCACTGAGACTAAGCTCTGCAAAAAAACCTGAGGAATGCAGCTGCCTGGCTTGCATTTGTTTTAATGGAGAACATGCATTGCTCTGGGACACCTTTGAAAAATTCAGTCTACACAAAATTAATCTCAGTGTTAAATTATATCTGCACTCAACAGGCTAGCTGCTGTCATCAGCGGCAACTAACCATTACATGAAATGCAGAAACTTCAAGGACTAACTTAAATAACTGCCAGTTATTGAAGCTGTTGATGCCTAACTTCCTAATCGTTGACCTGACCGCAACTAATTTGGAAGCTCTTGTGTATTTTAGTAGTGAATGATTTGGGAGAAATCCTGATTGAACACAGCTGGCAAGCCTCTTACCATTTTGGGTGAAGTGCCTCTTACCAATTTCATCCAGCAGCTCTTGGGCTGGTGGAGGCAGCTCACCAATGAAGTTGTTAGATGCCTGTGAGAGTGCTGAGATAGAAAAAAAAAGTCTAGTTAATTAGCAGTGATTAATCCTTAGTAACTGTGACATAGGCTTACATTATGTCAGCATCTTGCTGACATATTTCATTTATCAACCTACACGAGCCAGGCTCATTCACATTTTATCAAATATCTTTAAATGATTTAATCATGGAAGAATCATTTAGAGCTAGACTTGCACATTCAGTTCTCAATCTTGTATTGCAAACTTTAGGCCAGTAATATTTACACTTCAAACGTAGGTTGATTACAGGTCAGAGTTCTTAGTCTGCAGGTGCAAAGACAAAATCCGTAACCTAATTACCGCTAGTAATACACAGCTGTGTGCAAAAATATTTATCTCTA